CTAGATGATTAAATGTAGTCGTCAAAGAAGAAGGTGAATTAAAAGTAAGTTTTAATTCACTAAGTGATTGGATTAAAAATAATCAATTGGATTGGTGCCAATCACCTCACTGCCTTGCTAATTAGAACCTAAAATGATTGTTCACCAATACACTCTTGTAGTGAGTAACTAATGGATGATGGAAATAATTAATTGGATTAATTAAGTGTTGTGATTAATTAGAATGTCTAAAGAAATCATAAAAGCGATAAAAGATCGTTTTGGGCTTAAAGAAAAGTTCGGCTCTAATTGGGCCCATTGGGCCTAAACCCATTGGGCTTTTATTCAAGCATATGATGACTTGAAATAATAAAAGCCCAAAGCCCAACCAACACTAAAGGGGCCGGCCAAAGGAGGGAGAGAGAGAGTCAAATGTTGACTTGTTTCTTTTTGGTTATAAAAGGAACTTTATAGCACAAAGTTTTATTAGGGTTTTTTGAAGTGTTAAAACAACAAAAGAGAAAAAGAAAATATTTCTCTCAACACTCAAAGGGCCGGCCACCAAAGGGGGGTTTAGCTAATCATCTTCTCACCCTTTTGGTTATTCCTTCATCCTTCTCACTACTCTAGTGGGTGAGGATCTTTAGAGGTCTTCAACTTTGGAGACTTAAGGAGAACCAAGGAGCACTCATTCTAACAAAGTGGAGGAGGCAAGGAGGGAGGCTAAGCTCAAGGAGTTCCAACAACAAAGGGCTTGGAGGTGGTCCATCCTTGGTCTAAAGTCTAGATCAAGAGGTATAAAACTACTCCTACACTTTGTTCTTCACTAAAACGTTTTGATGCATCTTATATAAACATATGCATCTTGCAGGGGATTTGCATGACTATAGCTTTGATATTATTTGATAACATGCTTCCATTGCTTTCGTATATAAATTTTGAATTGTATATGCATGCTAGTCACTAGAAATCCCACATGAAATTTCACAATTTCCCTTCACTCCCCTATATGTGAAACAATTATAAAAACGTTAATTTAAAGCACATAACCAATACTAGCTAATAACTTCTCATACATTGCTCAAATAGGATGTTTGAATATACCAACGTGATCTACACAACCTCACGAACATCCCCATATTTTTAGAAAAAATTTTCGACGTCCCATGCGCCGGCAAAGGCACGGTAACACGCGCGGCCACGCGCAGGGACCCTAACAGAATCCCCTAACCCCATTAGGAATATTCCGTCAAAGTTGACGGAATATTCTGTCATCCCCTACCTTTGAACTCCGACGACCGTCGCTATCGTCGGAAACTAGAAAACTTTAAAACCTTCATTTCTCGTCCATTTCTCAACCAATTTGCATGAAACTTAAACCAATTTAAAGCATAACATGAATAGAACACAACCATACCTTTCAAAAGCCCTAAAACCCATGGAACTCGCTGGAAAATCCCTCGATAACCAGCTAAACCTGCAACTCGTCGAAACTCAACTTTCCGATGTCCAAATCACTTCATATTTCTTCTCTGATCTTTGTGAAGACAATCTAAAGCTTCCTATGCCCTTAAAAACTCCTAAAAACCTCATAATAATTAGTGCATGAACAATACCTAAATCGGAGTTCGTCAGAAACTAGGGTTTTCGAAGGTTTTAAGTCCAAATAAAGGTATAGATCAACTCCTTTGCATGCAAAGAGTTTGAATGTTACCTTAAAACCTCGATCCGTGCCTGAAATGGAAGGCTTGGAGTTCGTCCGTACAAAGTTGACGGAAATAAAAGAAAATCAAGAGGGAGGAGAGAGAGAAAGAGTGCACATGAAGGAGAGAGAGAGAGAGAGAGAGAGTTGGAGTGTGTGTGTGGTCCAAATTGTTTGACTTCCAAACAACCACAAAACCATAACAGCTTTAAGTCCTAATTGGTTCCAAATATCAGGGACTTAAGGTATTAGTTCACTTCCAAACTTAAATCACACAGTCACACAAAACGTCCGAGGGCAAAATAGTCATTTCACACCGTCGAAACTAAATATTTCAGGACGAGCTGTGATAGTAATGGTATTTCTTGTAATGTTTTGATGGGAAGTGTTAATAGCTACTAGCAGTTCTTGTAATGATTATGCGTTCTATCTGAATGTGTTAATTTTTTACCATGTTAATTGAACTCTTGGAAATTACTACTAAGAATCTTATTGCCAATTCAAGCCTTCTGTTCTTTTTCGTGTAATCATGGTAGCGTAAGGGTGTAGGTATCTTCCAAAGCCTATTTATATTGGTAACTGTACTTAGACTGCATAACACATTATGAACTAATTAATTGTTGAGGAAAAAGGGCTAATTTTGAGACATTTGATTTAAGAAGCACTACTTGTATTAAGTGGGCTGCTAACACATACAAGTTCTGGAGCAACATACGACCCAAATATTGCAGGGTCTGGCACACACGGCCCAATTGCAGGTTCTGGCGGACACGGCCCATTTGCAGGTTCTGGTGCACACGGTCCAATTGCAGTTGTAGGTTCGGGTTCGGTTTATGTGCGACCAATTGCATGTTGGGTTATATTTGATTGGTTTATATTTCCATATCAATATACATATGCTTATGTCTTTTTCAGATTGTGCACTGAGAAAAGAATTTATGTTGTGGGAGTCAAAAAATAAATCCTAAGAAATCCATGAAAGAAATCCATGCAAATCCATAGAAATCTATAATAGAAATCCATAATAATCTATCAAAATCCATATGAAATTATAGAATCTATTAAAATTCTTTGAAATCTATCACTTAAAAAAGTCCATTAAAATCATTTGAAATCCAAATTGATTACACCCCTAAAACTTTTAATGTAGAAAATATCGTTTGTTAAAATAAAATATAATACAAATACGCGGGTTTATGTGTAAGAATAAAAAGGATCAAATCCTTATCCTACTACAGAGCAGGGCGGTACGCGGTGGACGTAAAGAGCTCTGATTGCATTCTTAATTTGGGTGGGTAGGGACCGGATAATTTTGTTAGCTGTTGAGCCATGCAGCTTGATATCACGTGGACCGTGTAGAGTTAATTTTGGATAAATATCTTCAACTTTCTGAACAAGGGATTTCTCTACTTTATTATTCTTATCATCATGCTTCTCCAATACAGATTCTATACCCACCAAATAGCATTTTATTGAATTCAACAGCCTTATCCTATTCACTGACAAAAAAAAAGCCCTTCCCTTAGTTGCTACTTATATATGTAGAGGATAACAACATCAATTAATTTGACCTAAGGATTAAGACATCTCATTTCAACTCAGCTTCGCTAAGATGATTGCATTTTACATCAAACATGATTAATCCAGACTTAGAGTTGGTTTGGACCTGCTTCTCTAACATGATTTAGCGATTATATTAATTGTGATTTTACAGTTTTCAGTAAAACTTGGTTTTCAACCAAGTGCTTAAAGTCTGTTTATTGCTTTGCGTATCATAGTTGTATCTTCATTATACAAATGAGGACACTTGAAAAAGAAAACTTTTATATGACAACATATACTGCCCTGTGTTCCGAAAACACTAAAAAGTTTTTCATTGTTCAACATTTTTCTGTAGACCTATACGTGATCTTATACAACCATTAATCTAAAACTGTAGGGGTTTCTCATTGAAAATAAGGTCAATAACTCGCAACTTTGGTTGTGTTGTAAACTTCTTCTTCAGTTTCGACTTTAAAACCAGAAATAAAACAGTTAATAATAACTTTTTTCTTCTAATAACTTTTCTTTTGTCACTTCGTACTAAGGTATGGTGACATTTCTCTTCACTTGGAAGTTAGAGGTTTTAGGTTCAAATCTTGTGGATGGTGAATTCGATATCAAATTAGGTTGCCCATTGTGTGGTTCAGCAGAACTCCCCCTCCCCTTAGTATAAAAATATATCGTTGCACTAAAAAAAAAAAAAAATTAAAACTCTTCTTTTTGCTCTCTAAGTAACTCCTAAATCCTTCACAATAGTCTCAAATAATTAAGTATTGCTTCAAAGGGGTAACCTGGCTAATTCCTACTACTTTAAGGGGTATAAATTCGAAGGGTAAATCAACGATAGGGGACTAATTGAAGGGGGTAGACGACTCTTACTTAATTAAAAGATAACGACGCTTAACTATTCTTAGCCAGGAAAAGAAAACAACTATTCTTAGCGAAACAAAACGTAAATAAGAAATCTATACCTTTTCCATTTCTTGTAAAGATTGTTCTAGCCAGCGGGGTTCTTCCTACCCTTGTGGTTAAGCGTACAAGCTTGAATCCTCCTTGGTTGTGCGCTTGAAGGCTGGTACCTCCTTTGAAAGATTGTTCTAGCTGCCTTAACTAAATTCAAATCTGCTAATAAAATAATTTCTAAAGATTTTCTAGTCACCTGAACTAAATCAAAATCTTCTAAAAGAATAAATGCTCGACCAATTGTTATGTAGTGCTTAAATGAAACCGCTAATATTGGGATCTGGGAGACGACGATAATTTTGGAACGAGTGATGTTATTTCCACCCTAGTGTGTTATCCTTTTACTCACTTTTTAATAAAAAATTTAATTACAAGTTTGCTCATTGATAAAAACCTTAAAAGATATCTGTTCAAAAAAACGAGTAATCCACCCTTAAAATCGTTCCGGTTCCACACACTATTTTCTATATTTTCTGAAAATTAATTCTCATAAGAAGACAAAGATAAACTCAAAAATCATGCAGCCAGAGTTTGCTTCTTCTATGCTTTCTCCAGCCAGTCTCCGGTTCGAATTTAATGTTTTTGTTTTGGTTGGATGTTTCAACAATGGATATCTGCATGAATTGAATGAAATGTAATGGGGTCTTACTGTATATGTATAGATGCTGATATTTCTATACAAAAGTGTTGAAGAGGAACTGAGGAAGGTAGTCTTCTCTGAAGGGTATTGAGTTAATAACTGAAATACAGGTGTCAGTTACTGAGTGGTTAGAATGTAACAGCATAGACAAATTAGTTAGAAGTGGGGTATTATAAAAACAGTTGTAAAAACGTTTGATCTTCAATTTCAATACAGTTAGTCATTTTCTTCCGCTGCTTATCGACCTTCTCTCTTCTCAAGCTTTCTTGAATTCTCTGATCTTCATTTTCTTGAAGGCATTTGTTCTTGTTATCATGGTATCAAGAGCCATCGATCGTGTGTGGGTTGGTGCTCGTCTGAATCATTGATGGAAGTATGTTGATTTGCATATGTTTTTGGTGAATTTGGGAATTTTTTTGGCGATTTGGAGGATTCGTGTGACAATTTGGGGATTTCTATATGCAATTACGGTGGAATCTGCAGAAACTTCAGGTTCTATATTTCCAGCGCTTCAATCTATTATGTTTTCTTGTAATGATTTTTTTGGGCAATTTTGGTTTATTTGTGTCTATGCGAAGATAGTAGTCTGTATATGTGAAGATTCGAAGGTCAATGCCATTATTAAGTAGTTGCTATGCACTGGGTAGTTTTTGAGAAGGCCAATGCCATTACTCTGTGCTAAGAAGGGATCTGAAGGCCAATGCCATTAATTCCAGGAGTTTGATTTAGTTAGACGTTTGATTCTTGCAAATTGTTGGGTAGTTTCTTGATACGATTTGTTCCAAGATTAATTCTTGTCGATTTGTTAAAAGGTTAATTGTTGGGTAGATATGGCTTCGTCTGTGAAAATTGAAGGATTGTTGGGTATGTTGACGATTCAACTTGGTGAGCACAATTACGCCAAATGGTCTTTTCAATTCAAGGCTATGTTAAAAGGGTACAAGTTGTTCGATCATTTTGATGGTTCTGCTACTTGTCCATCGAAATTTGTGGTTAGTGCCGAAACTGGGGTTACCAAAGAACTGACTGTTGTTTTTCAAGATTGGGAGACCACAGATTTATCACTATTAAGTTTGTTAATAGCAACGCTGACTGATGATGCTATAGAGTATGTGATAGGTTGTAAGACTGCTGCTGAAGCTTGGACAAATCTTGAAGAAAGGTATGCATCTGTGTCTCGAACGGGTGTCAATCATTTGAAAACGGAATTACATACAGTTCAAAAAGGTGGGGATTCAATGGATAAATATTTGTTAAAGATCAAGTCAATAAGGGATCAGTTGATGGCTGCTGGGGAATATGTCTCAGATAATGATGTGATGATTGCTGCTCTTGCTGGGTTACCTAAAGAATATGCAACTATTCGGACTGTTATACTTGCGAGAGATTCTAATGTTACTATGAAGGAATTTCGGGCGTTATTAATTGGGGCTGAAAGGGAAAATGATGTGGTGATGACTCAACATATGGCTGCTCTGTATATGCAACACAATGATGGTGGTTCAAGTTCTTCTATGTATACCAATGGTGCATCCAGTTCAAATTCCTCTGCCAATGAGCCATCACATACAGGAGGTGTCATTACAGCTACTCTTTTACCACCACAAATGTCATTATTTCCACAGTCTCAAATGGGGCAATCTGCTTCTTTTCCAGATCAGAATTCTTATGGCTCAGGTAGTGGTTTTGTTGGTAATCTGGAGCAGCATCCACAAGATACCTCGAGGCAGTATCAACCTTCAACACAGTTCCATGGCACTCAACAACGGTTTAACAATGGAGGACAATCAAGGGGACATAATAATTACAAATCAGGATTCAGAGGCAAAGGGTCTAATTATAGGAACAGTAATGGTTGGAATGGAAACACTGAATCAAGAACTACTCTACATCCGGAATGTCAAATTTGTCAGAGAAGAGGTCATACTGCTCCTAACTGTTTTTACAGAACTGCTCAGAGTACTTCTCCACATTTTAATGCTGAATGTCAGATTTGTGGTAAGAGGGGACATAGTGCACTGGAATGCTATCATCGGGGAAATTACTCCTATCAACCTTCTGGACCTCCTGCCTCTCTTGCACCTATAGTTCCTGGTCAACCTTCTAGGATTTCTCAATCACAGGGTTTTGTTCAACAGCCTCAGAATTTTGCTGCTCATTATTCATATCAGTTGCATCCATCTACACTGCAAGGGATGAATGTTCAACAGAATCCACCAATTCCTGATATTTCATATCAAGTACAACCTGCAATGCAAGGGATGAATGCTCAAGGGTCAACATCATATTCCAATGCTGCAAATTGGATTGTGGACACAGGAGCATCACATCGCATGACATCTGATCTTGCTAGCCTACATCAAGTTTCTCCTTATGAAGGTTCTGAGAAAATTAAAATTGGCAATGGTCAAGGTTTGCCAATTCAAAATACTGGTTCTACAATCATTAAAACACCCTCTCACTCTATTATATTGAAAAATGTGTTACATGTTCCATCTCTTGCTGTGAATCTAATGTCTATAAAGCAATTGTGTAAAGATAACCGATGCTGGTTTATTTGTGATGACAAAAATTTCTTTGTGCAGGACAAGGTGACAAGGGAGATCTTGTACAACGGAAGGAGTAGATCTCAAGAGTTGTTTCAGATTCCTGTGTCAACATGGACAGTTTCGAGTGCGTTTATTGGACAGTTGATAAAGTCTTCTCTTTGGCATCAACGGCTAGGTCATCCTACTAATGAAGTCATGGCAGTTATGTTAGCTAAGTCTCGTATTCCAGTTGCTATAGATAATGAGCATAAGTTGTGCACAGATTGTATTCATGGGAAGATTACACGAACTAATAACTCTTCTAGGTGTATCTTACCTTTTGATAGAGTCCATTCAGATGTTTGGGGACCTGCTTCAGTCAAGTCTATAGAAGGGTATAGATTCTATGTTGTATTTGTTGATGATTGTACACGATACATGTGGATTTTCCCCTGTATAATAAATCAGAAGTGTTTTTGATATTTGTCAAGTTTTACAAATATATTGAAGTTCAGTTTGGAGCACAAATAAAATGTTTGCAATCAGATGGGGGTGGTGAGTTTGTAAGTAATTGTTTCAAAGAATTTATGCAGTCCAAAGGAATGATTCATAGGATTTCATGTCCATACACTCCTCAACAAAATGGCTTGGTTGAAAGAAGACATAGGCATGTAGTGGAAACAGCACTAACTTTGATGAATGCTGCTGGGTTATCCCAGGAGTTTTGGTACTTGTCATGTGCACATGCTGTGTATCTAATCAACCGAATGGCTTCTAAGTCATTACAAATGAACTCCCCTTATTTCTGTATATATGATAAGCATCCATCATTACAGGATTTGAAAATATATGGCTCCGCTGTGTATCCATATTTGAGACATTATAATGACAGTAAATTCCAAGCTAGATCCTCAATGTATATATTTTTAGGATATGCTTCAGGATATAAAGGGGTTATTTGTTATAATTTACAATCTCAGAAATTGATCTTATCTAGGCATGTTATCCATGATGAGTCTGTGTTTCCTGCCAAGTGTAAACCCTCAGTGTTGTCTAGTAGTGGATGTATACCACGCACGGTTCATTCTCCTCCAATTATAGTTCAACTAAGAGATCCAAGTGAACATGACAGAAGATACACAGATCACGTTTCATCTATGACTGATACTACTTCATTGCAGCAAGATATTGATGTACCTGAGTCTACTGATACATCACCTCTTCTATCCCAAAGACAGGAATCTGAAACACAGGAATCTGACACACAGGAATCTGAGTCATTACGATCATATCAGTCTACTCCCATACAAGATCTCACTCAACCCTTGTTGCCTGTCCTTGATCCAACACAACTTCAGGTATTACTTCCTATCTCTGAGAGTGATTGGAATCAATCCTCTAGTTCTATTCCTCATGCTGATGTTAGAACTCATTCTATGCTCACGAGACTTCAAACTGGAGCAATTGAGCGCAGAAATTATGCTACCATGTATGCTAGTTTACCTGAAATACAGTCTTTACAAATTGCTGTTGATTCTCCGTGTTATACTGGATTTTCTCTTCTGGCTGAAAATGTTGATTACGAAGAACCAAAGCATTTTAAAGTAGCAGCTACCAATTCAAATTGGCAACAAGCTATGCAGGATGAATTTGATGCTCTTAAAGGGCAAGGAACTTGGATTCTTGTCCCTCCTCCTCCTAACCGAACCATTATTGGGAGTAAATGGGTATACAAGTTGAAGAAAAATCCTGATGGTAGTATATCTAGGTACAAGGCACGCTTAGTGGCTCAAGGGTATACACAGAAGCATGGTCTTGATTACTCCGAGACATTTAGTCATGTGGTCCGCCACACTACAGTGAGGTTAATCCTTGCACTTGCTACAAGTTACAAATGAGAACTTAGACAACTCGATATTAAGAATGCATTCCTACATGGTGAATTACAGGAAGAAATATACATGAAGCAGCCACGAGGTTTTGTAGATTCGAGGGCTCCGAATCATGTTTGCAAACTTGTTAAATCGTTGTATGGACTCAAACAGGCTCCACGAGCCTGGAATGCTAAATTCACAGGTGGGTTACCATCTCTGGGGTTCACAGTCTCTCAAGCTGACACAAGTCTTTTTATCAAGATAGATGGCATCGATATTATCATTCTACTCTTATATGTAGATGATATAATCCTAACAGGTTCGAATGTCATCAAAGTCCAGAATGTAATTACTGCTCTCAGTGAGATATTTGATTTGAAAGACATGGCCAGACTCACTTACTTCTTAGGGTTGCATATTCAGTACAAAAGCAATGGAGATGTGTTTATTAGCCAGACCAAATATGCAAAAGAACTACTCAAAAGAGCAGGAATGGAGAATTGTAGACCTGCACCAACACCTGCCAAGCCTCATACTCAGTTACTCGTGTCTGAGGGGGAACCGTTGCCTGATCCGAGTGTTTATAGAGCATTGTTGGAGCCCTTCAATATTTGACTTTCACGAGGCCTGATATAGCTCACTCTGTGCATGTTGTGTGTCAATATATGACATGTCCAACTGATACACACATGTTCTTGGTCAAACGGATACTACGCTATATTCAGAGGACTCTACATTATGGACTTACATATCATTCCGATGCTGATATTCACATTTCAGCGTATTCAGATGCTGATTGGGCCTCTGATATCAATACACGGAGGTCAGTTACCGGCTATGTCGTCTTTCTTGGTTCTAATCCCATTTCGTGGCAGTCGAAGAAGCAGTTTTCTGTCTCTCGAAGTTCCACAGAGGCTGAATATAAAGCTCTTGCTCATTGCACAGCTGATGTGTGCTGGATACGGACACTCATGAGAGATCTCAATCAGTTCCTACATGCTCCTCCTGATTTGTACTGTGATAATATCTCTGCACTGTCTCTTAGCACAAATCTTGTCTTCCATTCCAGAATTAAACACCTGAATACTGATTACCATTTCATTCGAGAACGGGTGCAAAAGAAAGATATAGTGGTTCATTATGTCTCCACAGATAATCAAGTTGCCGATATTCTTACTAAAAGGCTTCACGGTCCTGTGTTTGTTAAGCACTGTATCAATCTCAGCCTTGGTGTCCCTAGCTGCGATTGAGGGGGGGGTAATAACTGAAATACAGGTGTCAGTTACTGAGTGGTTAGAATGTAACAGCATAGACAAATTAGTTAGAAGTGGGGTATTATAAAAACAGTTGTAAAAACGTTTGATCTTCAATTTCAATACAGTTAGTCATTTTCTTCCGCTGCTTATCGACCTTCTCTCTTCTCAAGCTTTCTTGAATTCTCTGATCTTCATTTTCTTGAAGGCATTTGTTCTTGTTATCATGAGTTTGATCAGTAGAAAAAAATGGTGCGGGGTCTGTCACTAAGCGCTCTGACTACGTCTCACAATGCTGGGGTATGCGGATCAATGCCTTCGTAGAGAAATAATTTTAGAGACAAGTTAAAAGTTCATAGTAGAGCGAGAGTGCTGACAAGGATATTTTTTTTTTTTCCCGAAGAGACAAGTTTATAATTTTATGAATTACAATTAGTTTAGGAATAATAATGGACGAGAAAATAGGATTTTAATTGTTTAAGTTTTAAGATGGATGCGATTATAATGAATGTGATTAGTCTAAACAATAAGTACGAGGAATTTTAGCTACTTACGTGGTGGGCAACGATTGGTGTGTCGGTACATCGAGGTCACTGTCCAAAACCATACCGTGGGCGCCACCAACAGCAGTGGGTCCACCGGGCAGAACAACAGATCGCATGCAGTGTATGGGATGGAATGCTAAAACCTATAAAGTGAGCGCAACAACATAATAATGTCAGACCTTCGTTACGTAACTAAAACATGGCGGTGAATGTTAGCGTGAGGGAGACGACGATAGTGAAGCCGGCGGAGGAGACGCCGAAGCAGGTTCTTTGGATGTCCAACTTGGACTTGGTGATTTTGAGCAAGCACACCCCCAGTGTCTACTTCTACAGGCGAAGCCAAACCGGCGGCCATCCCACCAGCCCCTTCTTCGACCCGGAACTGCTGAAGGGAGCCCTCTCCAAGGCCCTCGTACCGTTCTACCCCCTGGCGGGGCGCCTCCAGCAGAACGAAACAGGCCGTTCCGAAATCAACTGCAATGGGGAGGGCGTGCTGTTTGTTGTGGCGGAGACCGCCTCCGTCCTTGAGAATTTCGGCGATTTTGCGCCGACTCCCGAGTTCCGGAAGCTCATCCCCGTCGTCGATTATTCTGCTGGGATTTCCACTTATCCCCTCTTTGTGGTACAGGTATGTGTATGTTGATTTAGATTGATTATCTTTTCTAGCTGTATAATATTAGAGTAGTGCCTTTGGCTGAGGATTTTAGTTGGTTATTACTTGTTAAGCTCATAAATCAAACTAATAGATTAGATAAAAAAAAAAACTAATGAAAGGAACTTCAAAACTTAAATTTTAACCTAAAATCACCTTATAACTTTATTTAATGATAAGAACAATGAAGAGAAACATAAAAAAAAAACACTCAAAAAAAAATGATCTAAATCAAAGCGTATGAAAAACAAAATCTTTTCCTTTTTGTGTTTCACCGACCTTCTTCCCAGCTAGGTGGTGATGTGAGGCCACCTCTTGGTCTGGGTTCGAAGGTTTGGTAGGATGTGAATGGGATTTAACAAACAAACAAAAAAAAAAAAAACTTTGATGCTTGAGGATATGAATGTGATTTAACTAAACCCTTGCTATTAGGTTCACATCCTTATTTTTGTTACTCCATGAAGTAAAATCCTATTCATTTTCATTTTTTGATCAACGTCCTTGGGTATTAATAACATCATTAATTATTTGAATGATAAAATATTTTTATTTTTAAATATATTCCTTTAATGTGAAAAATGTTACAATTAGTATATTTATATTTATAGCTAAATTTTTTATCATATATTTTTTTTAGTTTGTACCTATTTTTAATTTGCAAATATTTTTTTTTTAATTTGTGCCAATTTTCTTTTCATTTTTAATTTGTACCCATATATTTGTTTCTTTTTGTGCCCATATTTTTTTAAGTTTTATTTGTATTTGTACCCATGTGTATACCCTCACGTGACATTGTATATTTAATCAATGATAGAAAAATTACATATGGTATATTTATGTTTTATGCCTAAACTTTGTATCATATATTTATATTTTTAGTTTGTACCCACTTTTAATTTGCAACATTTTTTTTTAAATTTATAGTATTTTCTTTTTAGTTTTATTTTGTACCCATGTATTAATTTCTTTTAGCGTCTATATTTTTAAAAATTCATTTGTATTCATAATTTTTAATCTTTTATCTGTACCCTAATTTATTTCTAATGTACCCATTTTTCTTTATTAATGTACCACTTTGTTATATGTGAAATGTACCAATTGTTTTGTAAAATGTACCAATTTTTTTTAACACTATGGATACATTCTTTTGCCATTTATTATTTCTTATTTTTACATAGTTTTTATCCATTTATTCAATCAAAATGTTTAAATGTTTAAATTTTTTTATTGTAACCGTTTCTAATAGTATTATAATGAGGGATTTTAAACTTATAAGATTATAAATCTCATAAAATATCAAACAATTAATGTCAAAACTATAAAAATATAAATATTAATAGTAATATAATGAGGTGTATAAAGTCAAGGGACCTTGATCAAACTTTGAATATTATTAAGGTTTTAATCAAAGAGTGTTAAGGATTAAGGACCGCGTCCAAAATATCCCTTGTTAATATGTAAATTGGATTTGACCAACCAAAAAAAAAAAAAGAAAAAAAAAATCCAAACTAAAATGATTGAAAGCCTTATATGTGACCTAATTGAGAGATATGGATGATGGTGAATTGGAGTTTGAGGGTGATGCATTCAGCATTTGTAGTTCAAGCGTCTGTGCGGGTGGTGGTGGATAAAGATGCAAGGAGCGACATCTCAGATATCCAAATAGTTTTCAATTTCAATTTTGGGTTGAGATTGATTTTTATGTGAATTACGCTCTGGAGCTTTGTAGCAAGGGTTGGGTTTGATTTGAAGAAAATGTGGAAAAGAACGGAGGAACGACTAAGTATTTCAGGAAGAACACCATGGGCATGGGCATCACCACCATCACCACCATCATGAAGGTGGTTGTTACTCCGGGGATGCAGCGAAACTAGAAAAGGCACTATTTTTAAAACTAAAGTAAGAAATATACACTATTTATGAAATTGGACCAAGAAAAAGATACACTATTTATGAAAATGTATCAATTATTGTACACTATTTATTAAATTGAATAAAAAACTAGACACTATTTATGAAAGAGTTTGTTTATTAACACCTCGCATATATTTTAATACACCCCACATAAAAATTTATTATTAAATGACTTATATATCCTATTATGAAATGACTATTTAGGTCACATTTGAATTTAAAAAATAAAATTATTTTATGAATGTGTCCCAAATTGTTTTCATATTTTTTTTTTTTTTTTGCAAGCTCTCAAAGTCACTCCTATCATCCATTGTAAAAAAAAACTCTAACAACTAATTAACAAACAAGATGAGTATAGATGGATACATACATACATATATATATGACACACCTTGACCAGAGTCAAGGCGTGATGGCACGCCTTGACTCTGGTCACGTCTCAGTAGACGAGGATTCTTGGCAAATCTCAGTATAGGTGGCTACCTTTGAGGGTATAATCCTTATTCTATCTTACTGTACTTTACTTATGCTCTGACATGACGTGTGAAATTGGTTCATTCCCGCTCACAACGCACTCTTGTATTTAGGCACTTTTAGTTTTAAATTTATTCACATTTTCCACATCACTACACTTTATGGCTTTGTCATCTTCTAGGTGTCGGCTAGCACAGCTCGATTCCGAGTTTGGTCAAACTTTTTCTTCATAAACCCTAAACCCTAAACCATTGATTTGAAGATGAAGCACTTTCTCTTTACTCCTCATAGAAATTTATACCTTGGTAGAAAGTGTGGGGTGTGAGGATAGTATTGGAAAGTATGTAGGGTGTATTAAGATAAATTTTAGTCTAAAAAGTAAATGTGGGGTGTATTAAGTATATGAGATGTAGTCAACAAAACGTGGGGTGTGAATAAAACAACCTTTTATGAAACATGACCAAGAACTAGGCACTATATATGAAAGTGGACCAAGAACTAGGCACTATTTATGAAACTTGACCAAGGATGAGATACTATTTATGAAACTATATCAACTACTATACACTATGTATGAAACAGAACCCAATAACTAGGCACTATTTATGAATTTGGACCAATAAATAGTATAGTACCGTTTAGTTTCATAAATAGTGTAGTACCGGTCAGTTTCATAAATATTATAGTATTGTTCAGTTTCATAAATAGTGTAACAGTGTAGTATTATGCAGTTTCATAAACAATGTCTATGATGGACGCGCAGATCCTATGTGTCAAGTTTTTTTTTTAATTTAATATTAAAATTATGTCATTTTCATTAAAATTTAAGTTCTTTTGTCATCTTTATTAAAAATTTAAGGTTTTTTTATTATTAAAACTTAAGTTTTTTTTCGTTAAATAAAATTCTATCATGGTTTTTGGTTAAAATATACTTAGCCCAAACATTTTTCATGAAATCTCCCTAGGTTGTTTTATTAGCCTCCACATATTGTTGAACACACCTCACATACTTAAAACACCTCACACTTACCTTTTAAACTAAAAATTTTCTTAATACACCCGAGTTACTAACCGAAACTACCCTCACACCCCACACAGTTCATACACCCCATACACCCAACACCAAAATCTACCTCATGTCTTCATCTTGTCCAAAAAGTAAATTTAAACCCTTTGTCTTCAGCACACAAACAGTGCGCGTGGTTCTATTGCTTCAAGGTTTTTGTCAATTTAGGGGAATTAAGCTCTAAATGTGAATTTGATTTTAAACTTAGAAATGGCTATTCGTAAATAAGAAATCATGAAAGGGCTAGTTGATTGTGCTATTGTTGTGTCCATGCAGATTCTCGGTTCTGCAATCATGCTTGAATCAAATTGCACCATAAACCATCCTAAGAAAGAAATAGCAAACATACTTGAAAATTTTGATAAAAAAAAACAAAACATAATCACATGACATTGTGAGTACTGGTGGATATAAAATTATATATAATTTACGGGTGGTGGATCTTGTTTAAATGATTTGGGTTGTATGAAGAAAATAAGAGATTGTTTGGTATCCTACTTGAGTTCAACTTTTTTAACTGAAAAACACTTTTTGAGTTTTAGGCGTTGAATTCTTGTTTGGTATGACTCTTTTTAAAAATTGAATTCAAAACTAACTTAAAAACATAGGCTATTTCTTAAAAACACTAAAAGTGAGTTTTTAGAGTTTTTTCTGCTTTTTCCTCAACATCTTTTTTTCGCTCTCTCCTAACCCTCTCTTTCTTCTCTCCTAACCCTCTCTTTCATCTCTCCTCATGTCACACCATGTCTCCTCTCTCTCTCCTCAGCCTTTGTCTCATCACCCTCTCTTTCTTCTCACTGTAATTTTTTGCTCTCTCCCTCACCTCCTTGCCCTCCCCCTGTCTTTCTCTCCTCCAATTTCTGCTCAAGGTAGTTTGAATTCAAACTAAAAAATTTATTTTTAAAAACTCAACTAAACAGATTTTTGAAATTTTGAGATTTAAAAGACATATGTTTCTGGTAATGTTATTTGAAAATTATTTTTAGGAACAATAAAAGTTTTTGGGTAAAATACCAAACGGGCCCTAATTGTTTTGCCTTACTTTTTAGGGTTTAAAAGTCATTTAAATAAGTGATTTAACAATAAATATTAAGTGGGTGTACTCAACAATTACTGGGATGCTCATAAAAACCCTTAGATAAAGTTTGTTGGAATATTAATTTGTTACTCATTTCGTTGCATGAATTAATTCAAGAAATGATATTTACACTTTTTTTGTTCTCACATACCCTTTTTTTTTAAGAGACAAGTGTATACAATAGAAAAATAGTGTGTGGTTATTATTTTTCGATGGGAAATTTTATTTGAACCTATACAACATCTTTTTACACCCAACTTAAATCTTAATTGTAAATTGTCTTCTTAGCCCTATTGTGTAATTACCATCAAGTACAAGATGAAATAAAAACAAAAATCAAAATTTATTAATAAACCCACATCCAATAATCAAACCCTTACCATCACGCAATAATTCTTTTACGTTCTGTTTTGGTTAAAATCCTAAGACGTTGTCAAGGAGAAAAATAGACTCTTTTTGACGGATGGATGATAATTTTGAAGTTTTAGATCTTTCAAATAAAGTATGAATCGATTTATGTTAATTTTTTTATTTCATTTCAATTCTTTTTGTTTAGTCTTAAGCAGCAGTTTTATACGGCCTGCAAATAGGCTTGAAATCAAGGATAATAAAGGTGGATGATGCATTTTCTGGTATTATGTTTCTCTGCCACCACATGTTCTAGTTTTTTCAAAGATCCATATATATGGGTAATCATCTTTACCAAGGATCACCTTGGAGACAAGTTTTAGTGGTAGTGTCCCGATAAATATATGTCAGAAGTGAATCTTTCTTGTTAAGAGGAAGGAAATAGCCATCACTCGAGAAGAAAATTGAATCAAGGATTATTGAAATCAAATAATTGAAATGGGTAACCTTATATACTTGATAAAATCTCATCGAAACAATAACTTGCCTGAGCACCAAATGCGAAAGAAACTCACACGATAACCCAATCCAATTTTCCCACAATTCTCCACTAATTCAACTTGTAAATCACTTCAAACACTATGTATGATTGGAAAATGCTAAACTTCTGCAAACAAAAAATATTTTGAATACCTCAATGCTTGGGTTGGTTCGGTGAAGAAAAAGTGCAAAGACAAATATGCAGCAAAACAAGGATTAAACACGAGACAAATATGTATAAAATTGATTTTGTGTTTTTATTTTATCAATGGGTGTAAAGACAACTTATATAGTGAATTGGGTTTGTGAGGGTAGTTTAGGTAATAAATTTGGGTTTAAAGAGATATTTATGGTTTAATTAAAATTGATATGGGTGTAGAGAGTAAGTTGAGTGTAAAAATAAGTTATATGAGTTCAAATAAAATTTCCTTTTTTCGATTAATATCCTCTTATCGAAAGCTTCAGCATGGGCAATTCCTATAAGTTATTGCCTTTTTTTAACGCAACGATATTTGAAAGAATTGAGTCAATTGACACTTACCATTACTACTGGAATGGCTGGGAGTTCGACTAGAGTGGAGTCGATGGAGTTGGCGAAGAATGCAACTGAGAGAGAGACCGAGTCTGAGAGAGATTGGAGTGGAGAGGATTTGAGCGAACGACACAATCATATGGTAGAAGATGAGTTGAGAACTGTCTGAGAGAGATTGGAGAGGGTTTGAGAGGCATTGGTGACTGGGGTTACTGGGTAAGAGAGATTGGAGTGGCGATGGTTGAGAGAGAGATGGTTTGAGAAAGTGATAATTGGAGTGATAGTTTGAGTAGGGGTGGGTTTTAAAAACTGAAAACCGAAAAAAAAAAAAATCGAACGGAATACTGAACCGAATCGAACTTTATTATTTTTGCTTCGGTTTTAAAGGTTTGAAAACCGAACCAAATTTCTTTATGCTTAAGACATCGAAGCCCTACAATAGGAAGAAGAGCAGGAGATTTAGTCATCCTTAACACCACCTTAACCTTCTTGGATATGTAAGTATAACAAACAAGGTGCTGATATTTTACTTTAATAAAATTAATGAATTAGACGGTGCAACCTTCGAAGCACCCCATCTAATGACATGCCATTTAACATTATAGAAGGTCCGCAGCAAAGCCCTTTTTACATATTATCCTACTAACATATCATACATGTTTCAATTTGTGTTAAGGCATGGACACTATGAATTTAAGATAAACCACTAGAACTGATCGATAAGACATTTTGTGATTTGTACAACATATCTGAAGTGGTAAGGTGTCTTCATTTAGGGCTGTATGTGTGCAAAGAGTACCTAAGGATAAACCAAGCACGTCTTTTGTGGTTCTGTTTGTGATTTCTCATTTTCTTATTATTAGTGTGTCAATGCAAGCCTTTTATCTAAATTCTATATTAAAAAAAATCAAATTCAATAAAATAAAAAACATCGAAACCGAACAAAATCAAACAAAAAAAAATGAACCGAACCGAATAAAAACCGAAATTTCTCGGTTTGGTTTCAATTTTGACAAAAAACCAAACCAAATGAAACCAAACCCACCCTATGTCTAAGAGTTGAGGCTGGGGGGATTCGAATCCATTAGGTGTGGCCAAGTCTACCTGAACTCAGATAAGAACCAATCAAACCCAGCCACGTGGCCCAACAAATTTAAAACTAAATTGGCTCTAGGTTCAATTCGGTTCAGAATGTAACCAAACCAATATCGAACCTCTTTATGGGAAACCAGTTTGGTTTTTTGTACCCGTACCGAAATGAGCAAAAAAAACTGAACCGACAGGTTTTCTTCCGGTTCGGTTTCTGTCCTCGGGACTTTATGCCCACCCTAATTATACCAATATGCTTTCTAAGGACACGTTCTTGTTTGTTTCGTGGTATACAAAGGGAACTTGCTTTTTTTATTCAAGGGCAGTATCGCTTTCCTTTTCAGTTTGCAACTTTGTCTTGACACCAAAAAAACACTATTCAACGACTACAAATTCATCATGGATACATTAATTGAATAAGCCATAGAAGAAAATTCATCCAAAAGGATAAGACCCTGACATTTTATACTATGACGAGCTAGAGCGTGAATGTTAGAGATTAAATAGCTCTCATACCTTAAAGCTTTAATGTAATTCATGCAGAAGGTCTGGGACTAACTTCTCTAACCTTAAAAAGTAGTTTTTCGATTGATAACTTCATAGCATTAATGTGTATAATTGTGGGAGATTAGTTTGAAGCAAATTCATCACTATAAAACTAACTTTTGCCACCAAGTTAGATTGCAATTTTGGGACGTTCTTTTGAGCATGAGTTAATCTTACAATATATTGCTTTCCGTTTACTCTGTATATGTAGGTCACATACTTCAAATGTGGTGGAGTGTCGCTTGGGGTCGGCCTGGAACATCGAGTGGCAGATGGGTGTTCAGGTCTCCACTTTGTAAATGCATGGTCTGATATCGCCCGCGGACTTGACCTTAAAATCCCACCATTCATCGACAGGACATTACTTCGTGCCCGAGACCCACCTCAGCCAACATTTGACCCCGTTGAATACCAGCCTGATCCGCCCTTAAAAATTCCTCCGCTCTGCACAAAAGATGGTGGTGCCGAGAGTACGACAGTCTCCATTTTTAGATTGACGCGGGAGCAGCTTAGCATCTTGAAAGCGAAGTCTAAGGAAGAAGGGAACACAATCAACTATAGCACATATGAGATGTTGGCAAGCCATGTTTGGATATGTGCATCCAAGGCACGTAATCTTCCCGATGATCAAGTGACCAAACTGCATATTGCGGTTGATGGACGGTCCAGACTGCAACCCCCACTCCCACTTGGTTTCTTTGGCAATGTGGTTTTCGCAGGCGCACCATTAGCTACAGTGAGGGATCTCAAATCAAAACCAACATGGTATGTTGCCAGCCGTATACATGATGTTGTGGTGCGCATGAACAACGATTACCTTAGGTCAGCTCTTGACTATCTTGACGTTCAGCCTGATCTGTCGGCCCTTGTTCGCGGTGCTCATACTTTTCGATGCCCAAAACTTGGGATAACTAGTTGGGTGAGGCTGCCGATATACGAAGCAGATTTTGGCTAGGGTGGACCTATGTTCATGGGACCTGGTGGAATTGGATACGAGGGTTTGGCGTTTGTGTTACCAAGTCCAACAAGTGATGGGAGTTTATCAGTGGCCATTTCCCTGCAGTCTGACCATATGGAATCATTTGCCAAGTTGTTGTATGACATATGATGAAATCAAATGCGCAAAGAGTTTGTTCATCAGCCTAAAAATAAAATGTGTGTCTTTGTTGGTAACTAATGTACTCTTGTGGCAAACTTCTTGTTTGAGTTGTCTTCTTTTTCTCATGAAATAAAAGATAGAACCCCTTACTTTGTTTTACGTAATTTTATTAAACATTTGTGTCTTTAAAGATTTGATTAAGATGCTTTAACTAATGTTCACCTTGTTGTGACCTATTTTATCTGACAGGGGAAGGGGGCCGGCGGCATAGAGAGAGAATAGAGAGAGAGATGTGTTTGTATGGTTGTGTAGAGGAATGTGTGCGTTATTCCCCTTACACAGTGCCTTTATTTATAATAATAAGAGAGAGAAGAAATCCTTCTCCTCCAAAGAATACAAGTCCATATAGGAAAGAATAACTAGAATCAAATCAAATCTAATCTAGGATTTACACAATCTTACTTAAACTAGAAGTTTATAACACTCCTTCTTGAGTGTGTAAATACTCAAGTAGATTCGACATCATGTAAAGGTTGAGGAAGTCGACTCGTCGACACTGATTATGGGAACACGCTACCCTCAATAAGATAGGAACTTGCATAAGGAAGTAAGTCTCACAAAGAAACCCTATGGCTATGGTAAAAACCCGAGTATGGACAAAACCCATAGTCTAAGGAAAAATGCGTGAGAAATGCAAAGAAAAATGAAACGTCTACGGGACGTCATCAAGGATATGATCAACCCAAGCTGGGTGCCTCGTCAAAATCCAGTTAGGTAGCAAAAATCCATGGGAAAATGCTCCTAATTGTAGGGAAAAAGAGTACATTAAGATCTAGCAAGTATACTTCAGGATACTCCCCCTGATTTTGACACAATTCCAAAGAGAACTAGCAATGTTACAACTCAGAAAGTTTACACTTACCAATTCCTTGAACAAGCTTCTGAAACGTCGCATTCGGTAGTGATTTGGTGAAGAGGTCGGCCAAATTGTCTCGTGAACAGGCTTACGTGACTTCAATCTTCTGATGCTCTTATTGTTGATGTGAGAAGAAGAACTTCGGCGCAATGTGCTTAGTGTTGTCTCTGTTGATGTAACCCTTCTTGAGCTATTCGATGCATGCTGCATTGTCTTTATAGATCATCGTTGAGACATCAACGATGGGGTAAAGATCACAGAAGCTTTGAATATGGCCCACAACTGCTCTTAACCAAAAGCATTCTGGAGTTGCTTCGTGTAAGGCTGGAATTTCAGCATGGTTAGATGAAGTGACAACTAAAGTCTATTTAGTTGACCTCCAAGAGATTGTGATGCCTCTAATGGTAAAGATATAACCCGTTTGGGAACGCACCTTATGTGAATTAGATAAGTATCATGCGTCGACATAACCAACAAGGCAAGAATCGACTCAAGATTAATTAACAAGGAGGGTGCGGCATCACTCGATGATCCATAGGGATAGAACAAGCCCAAATCTGTAGTACCCTTAAGGTAGCAGAAAATGTCTTTAACACCAGTCCGATGTCTGCGTGTTGGTGCATTACTATCACTACTACAAAAGGGACTTATAGTGTCAGTAGATGGTGTCGGTTTAATATAATGTAGTGGCGCATAAGATAGTTGCGACACTAATGGAACATGACGTCGGATTTACTGTCGCTTATAAGCGTCATAAAATGTCTACGTCGCTTTTAAACTTACGTAAACATTTAATGTCGCTTATAATCGACATATATTTTAATAATTTTAAATACTGGCGTCGCTTTAAACAAAACAGTGTCGCTTTTAAGCGACATAAAGTATTTGTGTCGCTTATAGGCGACACTAATTATATATATTAATTTAATAATTTAATAAATTTTATAATTTTATAATTTTATAATTTTATAACCCTAAAAAATACTATAATAATTATATATATTAATTTAACAATTTTATACCCTTAAAAACTATAATAATTATATATATATATATATATATATATTAAATTAAATATTAAAAATTGGTGACCATTGGATCAGCTTAAATATACATACCATTCAATTTCTTAAGTGTTATATGTACAAAATAAATAAATTTAAATCTACTTAGTAAATATATATATACACACACCATTGAACTTGATGGGATACGAATCCTATGAAACTGATTTCAACGATCCAACCATCAAACTTGTTTGTATATGCTTCGAGATCGCATCAGCAAAAAATCGCAAAAAACAAACATTCAGAGATCAAGTAACGGGACAAAACTTTTTGACGGTTATCAACGAAAAATCATGATTTAACGGTTATTTTAACTCCGATTTTGATGATTTTTTACAGCTACACTCCTTAACGCTATATGAATACAATGAATGAACTCGATCTTCAATTTCAAATATTTATACTAGTGGATACCAATAAATCTTATGTTATACTTAATGAAAGTATGAATAAACTCTTAGGTGATAGTGAATCTATTGTTTTGATGGGATACATATTCTATGAAACTAGTATCAACGATCCAACCGTCAAACATGTTTGTATATACTTCGAGATCGCATAGGCCAAAAATTGCAAAAAACAAACATTCAGAGATCAAGTAACGGGATAAAACTTTTCGACGGTTATCAACGAAAAATCATGATTTAACGGTTATTTTAACTCCGATTTTGATGATTTTTTACAGCTACACTCCTTGATCCTATATGAATATAATGAATGAACTCGATCTTCAATTTCAAATATTTACACTAGTGGATACCAATAAATCTTATGTTATACTTAATAAAGTATGAATAAACTCTTAAGTGTTAGTGAATCTATTGTTTTGAAGGGATACACATTCTACGAAACTAGTTTCAACAATCCAACCGTCAAACATGTCTGTATATACTTCGAGATCGCATAGGCCAAAAATTGAAAAAAAACAAACATTCAGAGATCAACTAACGGGATAAAACTTTTCGACGGTTATAAACGAAAAATCACGATTTAACAGTTATTTTAACTCCGATTTTGATGATTTTTTACAGCTACACTCCTTGACCCTATATGTATACAATGAATGAACTCGATCTTCAATTTCAAATATTTACACTAGTGGATACCAATAAATCTTATGTTATACTTGATGAAAGTATGAATAAACATTGTTAGTGAATCTATTGTTTTGATGAGATATGCATTCTACGAAACTAGTTTCAATGATCCAACCGTCAAACATGTTTGAATATATTTCGAGATCGCATACGCCAAAAATTACAAAAAACAAACATTCAGAGATCAAGTAACGGGACAAAACGTTTCAACGGTTATCAACGAAAAATCACGATTTAACGGTTATTTTAACTCCGATTTTGATGATTTTTTACAGCTACACTCCTTGACCCTATATGAATACAATGAATGAACTCGATCTTCAATTTAAAATATTTAAACTAGTGGATACCACAAAATCTTATGTTATACTTAATGAAAGTATGAATAAACTTGTAAGTGTTAGTGAATCTATTGTTTTGATGAGATACGCATTCTACGAAACTAGTTTCAACAATCCAACCGTCAAACATGTTTGTATATACTTCGAGATTGCATACGCCAAAAATTACAAAAAACAAACATTCAAAGATCAAGTAACGGGACAAAACTTTTCGACGGTTATCAACGAAAAATCACGATTTAACGGTTATTTTAACTCTAATTTTGATGTTTTTTACAGCTACACTCATTGACCTTATATGAATACAATGAATGAATTCAATCTTCAATTTAAAATATTTACACTAGTGGATACCACGAAATCTTATGTTATACTTAATGAAAGTATAAATAAACTTTAAGTGTTAGTGAAATGCTAAGAACCGTTAATGAAAGTATAAATATTTTAAACTGACGATCAAATTAGTTCATTGTATTCATATAGGATCAAGGAGTGTAGCTATAAAAAATAATCAAAAGCGGAGTTCAAATAACCGTTAAATCGTGATTTTTCGTTTTATAACCGTCGGAAAGTTTTGTCCCGTTACTTGATCTCTGAATGTTTGTTTTTTGCAATTTTTGGCGTATGCGATCTCGAAGCATATACAAAAATGTTTGACGGTTGGATTGTGGAAATTAGTTTCGTAGGATGCGTATCCCCTTCAAAACGATAGATTTATTAACACGATAGATTCATTAAAATGTTATATGATATACCAAAAAAAAAAAAAAAAACTCGTTATTTTAACTCCGATTTTGATGACTTTTGACATCTACACTCCTTGACCCTATATGAATACAATGAATGAATTCGATTTCAATTTAAAACCGATATTAATTATTTTATAAATTTTAAGTATTAATTAGACTATGTTTCAATTAGTATGTGATGATATTTTATAATAAAATTATATTTATGTTTTTTTATTACGTATTTTATTTAAGTTAAATTTTATTTATTAAAATCTTAAAATTTTATATGAGATAATTTGAAACGGATGGATAAACATTAGGCAGGAAATGGATGGATAATTTGAAATATTAGGTGGGAAATTTCCCGCTGGAAATGTATTCTCAGACTTAGTGTCGGTTTTAACTGACGTTATCATCTTTTAATTCGACACAAGTTTCATTAAACCGACACTACATGAATTTCAAAAAGTGTGTCAGAAGTTGGTGTCGGTTAAGACTGACACCAACATTAATAAGTTGGTGTCGGTTAAGACTGACACCAACATTAATTTAAACTGACGTAGTATTTTCAATAAAGAGTGTCAGAAAGTTGTCAGGTTGGCGTCGGTTAAAAGCGACGCCATGTAAAGTATGTCAAGTTGGTGTCGGTTTAAAGCGACGCCATGTAAAGTGTGTCAGGTTGGCGTCGGTTAAAAGCGACGCCACGTAAAGTGTGTCAAGTTGGCGTCGGTAAAACCGACACCATGTACATTTAATCCGACGTCAGTCAATTAACGTCGATTTAAACCGACGCCAACTAAGTACCCATATTTAAACCCCTCTCTTACCCATTCATCCGTGCTTCTTTTCTCCCCCAATTTCAGTCTTTCTTCTTCTCCTTCCCCATTTCATCCGTACGTCCCTTTCTTCCTCCTTTTCTGTTTTCCTCTTCTCCTTCCCAATTTTTATGGATCACCATTTTGAAGATCAATACTATGAGGAACT